TATCAATAGTTGAGAAACCATAAAATTAACTTGAATTTGGCTAAAGAATATTCACATTTCATATATTGGAAAAAAAATATCTTTAATGTTATTTTTTGACTTAAAAATGTACCTACAAATTAATGGTGGACTAATTGACTAAATGATCTTTATAAAAAGTCATGTGGTAATGTATGATTAGTCCAAGTTTTAATAAATATGAATATTACCACTCATATGAATTGAGATCCGACCCATGCACCCATATAATTAAACTCAAATTCTTGATTAGTAACATCCCACCCGAATTCCTTTCTTCTTCCTCATATATGATATATTCCCTAATATTGGTGTGTCTTTTATTTAGGATTATGCAAATAACTGCAATCAAAATTTGATCTTAAGATTCCTCTGAAAATAAAAAAGAACAAAGAAATTATTTTTACATTCAAGTAGACTTTGCTTTTCTAATTGCTCTAATCTTTCGGTGTTAGCGAGTCTAGGTTAAATCCTAAGATTTTAAACATTATTAATGCCATAAGATATTCAAGGAGGAAAACAAAAAAGCAAAATAACCTATAAAATATTTCAAGAGAAAGAGTTGATTATACAGTATAAATTCGAGATCAAATCTGCAACAAGTAGCAACCACTATTAATATGATAACAAGGGTACAATTGACTGAATTTGCCATATGGAACAAAAAACTAATGATTTGTATAGCTTACACATTCTTGAGCGTTTATCACTAATAGAGGCGGATTAGAATTTAAATTTTATGAGTTTGACATTCAAGTCGTTCTTTTATATTATTGTATTCTAAAAGTAACAATTTGTACGTATTTAAGGAATTTCTTAAGACAATATAGAGTTTAGACTAAAGTTATTGAGTTCAACATAATCGTGACTAGCTCTGCACCTAATCACTAATTTGATAACATAATATCAAGTTTCATCATTGGCAAGTGAACAATGTGACTAACAATATCCCTGCATTAGTAAAATTCATATAAATTATACTCTTGTTTCGAAACGAATATAGCTCGAGTATAAACACGGACAGTGTTAAGAAATTCTTAAACTATTAGTGTGATTTAACATGTTATAACAAGTTATCTATCGTATTTTTCAGGTTACTTATTATGGGCGGAATGACAGTACATCGGTGATTAGCTAATCGCGCGGCTATAGCATGTGGATTACTTATCCCATTTTAGGCCTATTGTTAACATCTGGATCAATACATCTAAAAGCTATGAGCAGAATTCTTTTCACTTCTTTCATACAAGGCATTTCTGGTAGCTTTGGATCCACTATTTGATCATATTGTTGACTTCCCACCATTGACTTCGTCCAATCAATTAAATATTCCCACAAATTGATTATAACCCCTATTTTGGCGACCCTGTTTTCTTATTTTATACGAATAAAATGAATGAGTATGACAAAAAAATTCGAATCCATAATGTAGTCATTAACACTCTGTTTTAATCATTGTTACCCATTATTTCATAATGTATTATATTGTATTATACTTTATTGTACTGTATTATATAGTAGATACAATATTTGGCTAGACTGTATTGTTTGTTGTTGTTTAATAACATTTTAATTGTTTGGTTTGATTGTATCGTACTGTATTGTAATTTATAAATTTACTAAAATATCCTTAATTATTATAGGGTAGGAGGTTTGACTAGAATTAAATAATATAAGGTAAACGGTAAAATAGTATTTTGAAATATTATGTAAAATATATAATTGGAAAAAAAATTTAAGTAACAATGGAAACACACCAAATCGGTTGTTCCATAAAATAGAGGTTTTCATTGTTACGTAACAACGAAATTTAACAATACAATACAATACAATACATTTTAAGTAACAATCAAAACAAATATTGTAGGTATAATAATGATACAATACAATGGGTAACAATGATCCAAACAGAGTGTAAAAAGTTTTGTTTGTGGGGAGATTTATTTTCTCATCAATTTTAATATATTTTTCTTTTATATTAGTTTTCATATAATAATATTATGTTTTTAGTATAAGTTTTTGTCATCTAATTTTTCAACGTCTTGATTTGCAATTGTAAGCTTCCACATGACGCTCTAATCACTTTTGAACCCAATAGTCTGATGGTCCTATGGTTCAATGAGGTAGAAGGCAGACTCAAGATGGTTTCAAATCAATTTGTAATCAATTTGATGATAATGAAGATTTTTGTCTAGCTACACATGGATAAAAGTTTATAACCATATTTTCAACATTCCTGTTGCTGCAATTTTAAAAATAAAAACAAAATATTTTAAAACCATTTTTAACCCATATATTTTTAAATTTTATTTTTAACCATCACAAGCAGCAGTGATGAAGACTATGTGAAGAACAAAATTATCATGCATATGAAGAAGGTGGATCAAATTTTGTCAAAAAAATCCAGCCAAAAGCGGAGATTTGTTAGGATTTTTTCCTGATTTTCTTACTTTATTTAAAATTTATTTTTCTCTTAAAGGAAAATCAAGTATTATCATAAATGCTTCAACTTTTCCTGGAATGAAAATATAATTTTCTTCCATGTTTGGTTTATTCTTTCCTTAGAGCAAAAGTTTGGAGATCTATAAATTGAAGATTCATGTTCTCATAGCATAAAACAAGAACATTCACAATGTAGTCAATAAAGAGTTTTGTCTTTGGGGAGATTTTTCCTCAACAATTTTAATATTTTTTTATTAGTTTTTTCATGTGTAGGCTGATTGGCTAAACAATATAATAATAATATATTTTTAGTATAAGTTTTTGTCATCTAATTTATCGATGTCATGATTTGCAATTATTAACTTCCGCATGACACCCTATTATCGCTTTCAAGTTAAATCCACTGGAAAGGTGCACAAAAATACTAACTATTACGAGTTAAATTCATTGGAAATTCAATTAGCTTTATTAGATTTTTAAGTTATAGTTTTTAAACAAATTTACTAACTATTATTTAGAAAGTTGAAAGGAATAATAAAATATGAGCTCATTCAAAAATGATTATATTGTAACTGCAAGGATTCGAACATGCTTGTGTGGGCTTCATAAGAGAGCCTCAGACCACAAGGCCGCTGTGACTTATTGTGCCAAGGGTGTCCAAAGTATTAAATTTAACCATTTTGAACAACATTTTACTTAGGTGTACGGTATAATTTTCCGGCGAATTGGACACCCTCAAGACACTGTAGCTCCGCCCCTGGATCAAAGTTTGTTTTTGTGTTGTCGATTGAATGAACTAAGAAGAGTAAAGATAGTCTGAAATAACGAAAACACCTATCCAAAAACTTTTTCATGTTAGAAAGAAGACTTAATAAGTTATGAATAATTTTTTTATGAGATTTACTAGTTTGGATTTTCAAAAGGAAAAAAGAGAGTAAGAAGTTATCATTGATGATTGTCTCAAATTGCTTTAATGGTGTTGATGGAGAACGAGGTGAAAATAATGAAGACAAAAAAGCGGTGAAAAAATCTTTTTATCTTTGGCAACCAAAGAAGAATCCTAAACAAACTCTAATAATTTCATATTTTTATCCACTGTCAGGGATATAAGTTAATCTCAGAGAAGAACTCAGGGAAGGACTATTTTGGAGTCTTTAATCCATTTATGCTTCAATGGGTGCATTCCATGCTCATAGCCAATATTAGCTTTTCTTTTGTTTTATTTAATGATTGTGGTGTCCAGATTAATTTTTGAGCACCTCGACTATTTTCACGAAATACTTAACTGCCATAAAACGACAATCAAAAGCGACGGACTGCATCGCTTTTTTGGTCAAAATCGACGGAAAAGTGACGCAGTCACTTCCGTCGCTTTTTAGCTCGACACTTTTTGACTTTTTTTTTTGATTTTTTTAAAAAAAAGCGACGGAGTCCGTCGCTCTATTTTAATTTAATTTTTTTTATTTCCAAAAGGAGACGCCGTCCGTCGCTTTTGTGGAAATTTTATTTTTAAAAATCCCAGAAAAGCGACGGACAAAAGGACGTTATCCGTTGCTTTTCTGGAAATTATTTTTTTGGAAAATCCAAAAAAAGCGACGGACAAAACCACGCTATCCGTAGCTTTTTCTGCAATTTTTTTGACAGTAATCCAGAATCTGCTGCCCACCTGCAAATTCAATTCAATTCAATTCTACACCATTCAACTCAATCAATCACACACAATTATAAATAATTTACAGGGATAAAGGTCTGAAAAATATCTCAATTTTGGACGGATTTTCTGTTGCGATACTAAACTTGAATGAGGACATATTACCTTCCTAGACTATTTAATACCGTATTTTAAACATATATATTTGCCCACGTGGACATAAAAATAATGTAAAATTATAAATAGTAATGTGTCCACGTGGGCACATATATACCTTTAAAATACACTATTAAATAGTTCAGGGGGTAAAAAATATGGTATTAAATAGTTTAGGGAGGTAATAGATCCTTATGAGAGTTTAGTATCGCAACAGCAAATCCGACCAAAGTTAAGGTATTTTTCAGATCCTTATCCCTAATTTACACAAAACATAAAACAACAAACTTAAAATAACATTCAAAAGTATCTAAATCACAATTTAAAGACTTATAAAGTCTTTCAAAATTTATTTCAAAATTTCATAAATGTCCAGAGATCTAAACTAGAAAGTGGCATCTACATAATCATCCTCATCAACACTGTCGTCGTCTGTGTCCTCAGGAGCCGAAGTAGTAGGTCGACGAGCGAGGTTCATCACTTGTTCTTTGATTTGTTGAACGGTCGCGCTCATGCTTCGTTGTTGAGCTACTCTTCTCTGCTCCGACTCTGTCAGTGTCGCTGTAAGTTGTGTTATTTGAGCCGACATAACAACAATCTGAACACCGTCAAGTGTCTCGGCTTGACGTGATGATCCAATACCTTCTAAGCCTGACTGGAGTCGTCTTACATCGTTTCGAGAGCCTAGGACATAGCATCTACCCTTGTGTGTCCCTCATACCACTTTTTCTTTTCAAATCTGGGTGGACAGTTCATGTGTCATTTCGACCGAACTATCTAGATTCTCAGCGACGTAGTGATGAAACTCATTCTGCATATTAAATATAAAAATTGACATCAATATATATACATATCATAAATATATTCACTATTAATATATATTATTCATATTAAATAACTTACAAAAGTTCGTTCGGCCATTTCCTCCACCACACATCCGGATCCGACTCATTTTCTTTCTTCTTGACGTGAGTCTTCTTGAAAACCTCCGGTTCAATGGGAGTGCGTCCCAATTCTTTTTCCTATAAATAAAAACTGAAATTTATAATGATATATATGAATCAACTTATTATTTATTTAAAAGTTTGAATTAGAACTTACCGTCTCTCTTATAATTGTTCCAACGGTCTTTGCACCTCCGGTGTGCAACGAGCCACCCTTAAGACTGCCTCTAGCCTTTTTAGTTTGTTCTGATATTACCTTAAGCTTGTTTGTGTTCCAATACAGACCCAATTCATCAAAAACATGAGGCAACATCCAATCCGGACGTTCACCACTATCCCAAACTTTCTTTAGCCAACTAGACAGTCTGGCGGATGCCCTTCTCTCAAATGTGGTCGTAATGACCAAATTGTACCTAGGCTCTCAAGTACACATAGTCTGAAAAAAATTGAATAACATTAATTAGATCGATAGTAAGAAAAAGTAAAGTATACTAAACTTAACTAAAAAATATATACCTTAAATTCATTAAACATCGCCTGGTGTATTCTGTTTGAAATCTCGCTCCAAGAGTGATAAGCCTGTGTATAAAGTCTTCTAACACAGTATTTTAAAGCCCGGAAAGCATCCTTGCAGGATGCCACTTGCAAAACACATAATAAATATGTTAGTTCATGAATAATATATTAAAGTATAAGAAATAAATAAAATAAACTAACAAATAGATAACAAAACAAACTTACGATGATCCATCCGGCTCAATCATGACTTTACCAAATCTATCCTTCTGGCCAGGAGCTAGAGCAGGCATCTTATCATCTGGTGTAGCACTAGGTCTAGCTGTAGATGAGGGTGATACATCAGGATGCACAAAATGTTGAGTAAATGGAGGCGTACCGGTCATAACATCTAACTGCTCGTTACTAGAATCTCCAATCCTCATGGCAGAAAACTGAGGAGATGTATCTGTGGGAGATAGAGTACCTGCCGATAAGGGTCGTGCTCGATAAATAACCTGTAAAGGTAGGTCCTTGTAGCGTCGTACAGGCAATGCTTGTGAAGTAGAGAAAGCACCGACTGATCAATGGTAATTAGGATAATATTGCCGAGGATTCGCCGTACCAAACGAAACAACAAATAAATGAGTATCATGATTGATGTGCTCTGGCATAGAAGAAATAGATCCTACAATATCCTCAGGATCTATGGATCTCCTAGACTTCTTCTTTTTAGCCTGTTTAGTCTGGCTAACTCCAAGATTCTCGCGATGTCTATCACCGTCACCAACTGATGACATCTGTATGTAAATTTACATGTGTAATATATATAAAAATCATAATTTAAATAAAAATAGCAAAATACACTAACTTACATATATATACTAGCTAGCTTTCATTCTACGCTATTCCTCCTCGCTTGTTTCAATTCCATCATTCTCCCATTCTTCCTCCTCAATTGTTTCATTTTCATTATCGTCCCATTCTTCGTCATCAAATGATTCATTTTCCTCATTCTCATATATTTCTTCCTCAACATTCAGTATCTCATCATTAGATACTTCTTCTAATATGTGTTGAGGATGTTGTAGTGTGGTTTCCAATTCAATATCAACTTGTTGTTGAACAATTGCAACATCATTTTGATACGCCACATCTAAGACATTGTCAATTTCAATTCTTCCCAAAAGCTTATTTTTTATAACAACCCACCAATTAGCTTTGTCTCTACGCAATGGATATGGAGCGTAATACACTTGTTTAGCATTTTGTGCAATGATAAAAGAATTATAACTTCTGTATTTCCTGGTGTGTTTAATTTCAATTATATTATGTTGATGGTCCACCTTTGTGCCTCTATGTGATGGGTCAAATCACTCACAACGAAACAATATAATCTTCTTCTTAGGCCAACCTGAATACCGCACTTCAATAATTTCATGACTGACACCATAATATTCAATAGTTTAGCTAGTACCATCAACATCACCTTGTATGTAGACATTGCTATTATTTGTTTTCTTGTTCCTAGAAACTTCTTCAGTTTGAAACTTAAAAACCCATTGACACAATACTTATTCATTGTCAGTACTTGAGATTCAGGTCCAAGTGCTACTTCTTTCACTAATTGCAAATGTTGGACACTTGAGTATTCATCGTAAACCTACGTGATTGTTATTTCAAGTAATATAAGTTAGAATAACATGAATATATTATTAAATACTTAGTGATTGAACACTTACATAGTTCCTCAGCCATTTGAATTTTTTTGTATAAATGGCTTCATTACCCCATGTGTTTACGAACAAGCTGATCATTTTCAAGTATTTCGTTAGTTAATGAACACTTATTAGTATGTAATTTGATAACATATTTTTAACACTTACTTGACATATGGTTGAATCTCTTGACAATTAAGCAAAATATATGTCACAACTGATTGCATTTTCATATCAGTGAAGCCTCGCTTCCACGCTTTTTAGATCCTCGACCATTTTGATTAAAAATTGATATCGGTGAAAATAAAGGATCAATATCGCCTTCATCATTATATTGCGATTGGGCCTGTTTATCCTACATGACATATCATCACCAAAGTAATAAGAATAAAAATCACCAGTTTCTCTCCTAATATGACCTTGAACAACTGATCCTTCGATCCTTCCCCTTTGCTTAATCGTTTGCTTGGAACTGCCAATTTTTCTACATGTATATATGTATATATATATGTTAATAAAAGACTTGGTGAATATATATAACTTAGTGAATATTTCAAATGGATACATCCATCTTGTTTAAATCGGACCTCCGAGGCGGGCATCTTGTACAAGGTGAATTGGAAGATGCTCCATTACATCAAAGAAACCAGATGGAAATATCTTCTCCAACTTAGTAGTAGTAACAAGAATATTTTCCTCCATCCTGTCTAAACTACTCTCCAACAACTTTCTAGAACACAAATCTTTAAAAGAAAGACTTATCTCTGTGACTGATTTCCATATCCTTCCGTGTAGATGGCTAAAAGCGATAGGAATTAAAGTTTCCATGAACACATGACAATCATGACTTTTCATACCTATCAATTTTCCTTCATTCATATCTGCTCGCTTTCTTAAATTCGAAGCATAGCCTTCCGACATCCTCAAATTTTTAACCTACTCAATAATTTCACGTTTCTCATCCAATGTGAATGAAAAACTGGCTTTGGGCTTAACAATTTTACCATTCTGTAATTCCTGCAGCCATAACTCTTTTCTCTTACAATATTCCTTTATGTCCATTCTAGTTTTTGAATTGTCTTTGGTCTTACCCTTAACATCCATCATTGTGTTAAACAAATTGTCAAAATATTTTTTTTCAATGTGCATCACATTAAGATTATGTCGTAGCAGATTGTCATTCTAATACGACAACTCTCAAAATATGCTTTGTTTGGTCCAATTATGTTCCACACCATATCCAGGAAGTCTAGAAGGTGAAGTTTCTGTAACTTTAAGTAATTGAGAAACTCTTTCCCAAATTTGATGCCCTGTGAGTAATGGAGGTGGGGGGGGGGGGGGGGGGTCACTTTCAACCTTATTTTTTCTAAATGCATTTTTCATCTTTCTAAACTCATGGTCCATTGGCAAGAACTGGCGATGACAATCAAACCATATATTTTTTATGTCATGCTTTAAAGTGAATGCGTTACTATTTTCCATGCAATACGAACATGCTAGCTTTCCAGTTGTCATCCAACCAGACAACATCCCGTATGCAGGAAAATCATTAATAGTCTGTATTAAAGAAGCACGCATAAACAAATTTTGCTTAGTTGATATATCATTAGTCAAAACGCCTTTAAACAACAATTGTTTAAGCTCATCTATCAATAGTTGTAGATAGACATCAATCAAACTTTTTGGATTACGGGGACCTAGAATAACACAACTTAGAAAGATGTAGGGACTGGTCATGTATATTTTAGGAGGAAGATTATACGGAGTAAGAAGTACCGGCCAGCATGAATAAGGCGAAGCAACATTAGAGAATGGTGTGAAGCCATTTGCACACAACCCCAATCTAATATTTCTTGGTTCACTAGCAAAAAAAGGATATACATTATCAAAATGCTTACATGCTTCACCATCAGATGGATGAGACAAGACACCCGATGGCCTTCTATATTCACGATGTCATCTCATATGTAGGGCAGACCTCATCGATGCATACAACCTTTTTAACCTAGAAATGAGAGGTAGATAATGCATTGCCTTAACTGGGACCATCTTTCCAGTCGGAGTCCTCTTATAACAAGCATCTCCACAAAACTTACAATTTTCTAATTCACTATCAGTCTTGTAAAACAACATGCAGCCATTAACACAACAATGAATTCTATCATATGTCAATCCTAACTTGGAAACCAAACGTTTTGCCTGATAGAAGTTCTTAGGTATGTTAAACTCCGGATTAACTAGCTCACCCAAAAGATCAACCATTGAGTCCATGCCGCATTAGGAACATTCCAATCTGATTTAATATCCATTAATCTAATCGTAACTGACAAGGCAGAATGCGGACTCCCTTTACATAGTGGACGACTAGACTCTTCTAATTGATCATAGAAACGTCTTGCTTCTTCATTAGGAGCTTCATCAAAATATTGTTCCGATTTCATCCCACCTTGAACCCCGAAAGCATCATTGATCATTTCATGAACCCTATCATGTTCAACCCTAATTTGACCATGTGGTGCAACCATATTATATTCATCCATAGGCAGAGAATTATAAAACATACCATCGAATCCATCACTTTCTCCATGATCAATCCATACAAAATATCTAGGCTTAAATCCATTACGGTACAAATGAACCATAAGTGTATCTGGTTTAAAAAATTTTAAGCACTTACATGTACTACAAGGACACCTAACCAATCCATTATTTTTGAAAATGTCAAGTGTCATTGTATGGTCAATAAAATCTCTAACACCGTCAATAAACTCAGGTTTCAAATCAGCACCAGTTTCATAATGCATATTATACATCCACAAACGATGATCCATCTACAAAAATATAGATATTCAATTATATTATAAATTAAATTTAATAATAATTTTACTACATTTTTTTTTATCCCTTCCTAGGAGCTCTCACCCCTTTTGCTCCCTTGGTGACTCGAACTCGCAACCTTCGGGTTGGAAGTGAGGGGTGCTTACCATCCGAGCAACTCCCTCTCGTCAATAATTTTACTACATTAATTCATTGTTAATATATATTTGTAATAATTACTTAATAATTCTAATTAAGTTCAATTACTACATTAATTCAATTTCTAAAGTATATTCAAGTTCAATTTCTAAATTCAAGTTCATATTATAAAAGTTATTAGTTATATATAAAGTGTAAATCCAATAATTAGTTATATATTCAAATTCTAATTAAGTTCAATTAGTTCAAGATCTACAAAGTTAAAGCTTAATTAATTAATCAATACTAATTAATTAAGTTCAAATTAAGTTCAAGTTCTAGTTAAGTTGATCAAAATTAAGTTTATATTAATTCCTAATTAAGTTTCAAGGTAGTATAAATTAATTAAGTTTAATAAAGTTCTAATTAATTTATGTTAAGTTCAAATTAATTAAGGTCAATAAGATTTTCAAGTACTACAAAATTCTAATAAGTTCAAATAAAATCCAAGTTCTAATAAGAATAAAAATTAAGTTCTAATAAATTAAAGTCAACAACATTTCAAGTTCATATTCCTAATTAAGTTCAATTTATAGTAAATTCAAGTTATAATTAATTATAAGTTCTAATTAAGTTGTAATTCAAATCCCTAAAATTCCAAATTCAAACTAGCTAGCTAGTGTCCCAAATTCAAACTATTAGTCCTAAAATATCAAATATAATTCAAACTAGTCCTAAATTCCAAATTCAAACTAGTCTTAAAATCACAAATTCAAAGTACTCCTAGAATTCAAAAATCAAACTAGCTAGTGCTAAAATCCCAAATTCAAACTATTAGTAGTCCTTAAATCTCAAATATAATTCAAACTAGTCCTAATTAATTCCAAATTCATACTAGTCTTAAAATCACAAATTCAAAGTATACTCCTAGAATTCAAAAATCAAACTATAAAATCCCGAATTCAAACTATTAGTAGTCCTAAAATCTCAAATATAATTCAAACTAGTCCTAAATTCCAAATTCAAAATAGTCTTAAAATCACAAATTCAGTTAGTTATATATAACCTTCAAGTTCTAAATTCAAGTTAATTCATATCTAATTTCTAAACTTAATTATATATAAACTTCTGATCCATGAATTGGTTATATTCAAGTTCAAGTTCATATATTCATTCATGACATTCAAACATTCAACACATATATTCATGATATTCAAACTAACTTCTAACTTCAAATTAACACTTTACTAACTAACAATCAATCAAAAAAATTTTAAAAAAAATCTTAAATTCAAATCCCTAATAATAATCCTAATTCAAAATCTTGAAAACCCTAACAAAAATCCTAATTCATTCACTAACTAACAATGCCCAATTCAAAATATGCCTAATTTTTAAAAAACCCTAAATTAAAAATCTTCAATTCTATATATCTAACTAACAATAATCAAACCAAATTAATAGTTGATTAAACACAACCCAATAAACTAAAACAATAATATACTAACTAAAAATCAACTATAATCACAAGAATTGAAAAAAAAACCTAAAATTAGGAACTAACCTTAAAATGAGGAGAGAGGCAACGACGACCGGCAAGCAGCGAGGCAAGGAGCTGGGCCAGCGGCGTATGGAGACAACGGCGACGAACAGATTGAAGAGAGAAGGGAGAAAATAGAGTGAAGAGAGAAGAAGAGAGAGAGAGAGAGAGAGAGAGAGAGAGAGAACAAAATTGGAAATCCCGATCTAGTCAAGATATTTTAAAAGAAGCGACGGACAACGTCTCTTTGTCCGTCGCTTTTTAAAAAATAGTTGACCGATATTTTGACCAAAAAAGCGACGGACTAAGAGACGTTGTCCGTCGCTTTTCTTAAATGTTTGACCAAAAAGCGACGAACTTTGAGATGCTGTTCGTCGCTTCTTTAAAAAATTAATTAAACAATTCATTATTAATTATATATATAGTTGACGCAAAAATCCGCGAAAAAAGCGACAGACTAAGCGATGCCGTCCGTCTCTTTTTTAAAAAAAAAAATTAAAAAAAATATTTTTTATTAAAAAGCGATGGACAGTGTGGTTAATGGCGTCGTTTTTTGAAGCGACGCCCTCCGTCACTTTTATGTCCGTCGTTTTTTAGTAGTGTGTGTATCTCGACTATTTTCACGGAATACGTGGTGTCCAGATCAACTTTTATGCACCTCGATTATTTCCACTGAACACCTGCCACTTTCCACCAATAATAGGTATCAAGTAACTCTATCCACCAAGGCAAACTAGCACAAATAACGAGAAATATCTACTGTTTTTTATCTCCACTGAATTTTGAACCGGAGACCTCAAGTATTATCTTCCCTTTTCTTGTGAACAATTGAATAGGCTGACTCGAAATATTAAACTCACCCAACCAAATATTGAGGATACTGAGAATATGAGTCCATATTGGATTCGATGGGATGTTCATGCAGAAAAAAAAATGAGTATATAAGCATAATAACACTTATTTATTATCATAGATTTAGGACTCCAAGATAATCTTAGAATTTAAACAAATTTAATTAAAGGCTCAGCTGAATTTAATTAAATGTACTGTTAAGCTAATGGGGACTAACCATTTCAAACTAAATCTTAATTGATTATAACTAGAATGGACTGAAATATGAATTTCAGAATTTGTTTTTGTACAAATTAAATCTTTGTTTTGATGAACTTTTTTTTTGTGTTTTTAAACAATAACCTTTAGGGGTCGTTTGGTTTGAAAATGAGTTATGATGGGATAAGTTATGTTGGGATAAGTTATGTTGGGATTAGTTATGATGGGATAAGTTGTGTTGGGATTTTTTTTTATTGAGTGTTTGGTTTGTTGTATTCAAAATAATAAATTTTAAGAACAATTTATTTGTTTACAAAAATGCCCTTCATTAATGTAAAAAGTGATATAACAAAAGGGTTGAAAGAGACATTTTTGTCATTTACCTATTTTATCCCGAGATAAGTTATCTCGGGATTACTATACCACCCAAGGAGAGGGATAACTTATCCCGGTACTAATTATTAATCCCGGGATAAGTTATCCCGAACTTGCCAACCAAACAACAAAATAAGCAGTACTATAATTTAATCCCGGGACTATTTGGTATTATCCCTCACACCAAACGAGCCCTTAAGGTCAACTCATTGAAGTTCTGCTTTAGGTTATCATATTTGTTGTGCCACCTTGCAATATCAACTTTAATGGCCAAATGGGTCAATATTATTACATTTGTCTCTATTGTTCATAAACATCTTAACAATATCCTTAAAGTAACTTGTATTAGACCAACGAGGGTTGTGGTGAAGCCGTAAGTATTCCTTCATCTTTAATCAGAGATATCACGTTCGAGTTCTCTAAACGAAGTCACCTTTGTTAGAGAATATTTTACCTCTAATTGTGAGATTTCTCGGTCAAAATTTAGTCAGACTCCAATACGGGTATAGAACACCGGCTAAAACAAAAAAAAAACTTGTATCAGACCATTGACCAACACAGCAAGTATTGAGCGCGCTTGGAAAAAACGTCAAAATAAATAAATAATATTCTTATATATTGCAAGAATAAATTTCAGGAAATGGATGAGTGATTTTTATGCAATGAAAAAAAAAGGTGCCTTTTCCCATAACCGAATACTTTTGTCGTAAATATTGCATATTTGATTCCATCTATAAATCAATTTTCTTTCTTATGAGTGAAAATCTTAATAAGAATGATAGTTTTTACTATTCATATGATATGAATATACCCATCAATTTGTATGGATGATGAGACTCCATTGATACAGAGCCTCCTGGGTCTTGCTCTCTTTTTTTTTCCCTCTACATTCCTCTTGTAATTTAAGTTAATATGAACATAGTTAAGTGATTTGTATGAAAGAAAAAAAGTATTTTTTATAATATGAACTTATATAGTTTAGTGACCTTTCATGATATTTACTCGAATAAGAAGATTAATATTCCAACAAAATCTTTCTGTTCTGACCATTCTAAGCAGTAGTGACTAAAATGAGTAAACAAAGGAATGTTGGCACCACAACTCAATTACTTTAGAAAAAATTTCTTGGACAAACTTACCTGTTAAAGGTTCTCTGTTTCCAAACTATTAATGTATCTAACATGTTATAATAACAAGTTATCTGTCTTATTTTTTAGGTTACTTATTCGACATACATTATGAGCGGTAACATATGCATCAGTCAGTGTATAAAGATTAAGCGCATTCGTTTTTATTAATGCTTTTGAAGTTATGATGAAGCAGAGGAATCACGTTTACATCGCTGAGTAGTAAATCGCGCGGCTGCAGCATATGGATCACTTCTCCCATTTTAGGCCTGTTGTTGACATCTGGATCAACACATCTAAGAGCAATGAGCAGAAATATTTTCAGTTCTTTCATACTAGGCCTTTCTGGTAGCTTTCGATCCACTATTTGATCATATTGTTGGCTTGCCACCATTGATTTCATCCAGTCAATTAAATATTCCTGCAAATTGAATATATCTCTATTTTAGATCACCTTTTTTTCTTGTTTTGTGGGAATAGAACTGAATGAGCTATTATGCCAAAAAAGAGTAGAAAAATTTTAACCTCATTTTCTGTGCTAGTGTACTTTATGGAAGGCTTTCCTGATACGATCTCCATGATAAGTATACCAAAGTTGTAAACATCACTCTTCTCGTCTAAAATTCCGGTGGATAAATATTCTGGTGCAAGATAGCTGAAACAGGCCATAAAAAAGAAAGTTATAAATCAATCGAAAAGGAGGGGCTTGTGTTAAAATGCTATAGCAATCCTCCAAAATTGTAAGATGAGAACATTTTTGAAGAGTTCGAGCAACATAGATTTATAAGTTAAAGAATTGCAGAGTGTACCAAGCAACTAACTCACCCTGACATTCCAGGAGGGGTTGTTATTGGGTGATTACTTCTTTCATCAGAATATAAGAAATTGGTGATACCAAAATCAGAAATCTTTGGATTCCAATGCCTATCTAGCAAAATGCTACTTGACTTTAGGTGTTGATGTATTATAGCAGCTGGTTCAGTATCCTCATGAAGGTAAGCCAAACTACACAAAATTAAATAATTTAGTCGACGTGGATTCAAAAGAGAAAGAACTTAATTGTTAATTAAAAACACACCCTTTTGCAATTCCAAGCACAATGTTCATCCGTATATTCCATGTTAAGGGGCTAACTTCACTGATGCAGTCATGAAGCCACTGCCCTAGATTGCCATTGTCTACGTACTCCTCCACGATTATCCTGATCGAATAATTACAAACAAATTTGGCATTCAATGAATTAAGAATGGCTATTGAGTATATATAGACTATAGAGAGAGAGAGAGAGAGAGTGTTTGTAGTACCTGTAGTTTCCTTCAAAACAATAACCAAACAAGTTCACCATGTTTTTGTGTCTGAGTCCCAATAATACTTCCACCTCCCCTGTAAATTCCTTCGCTTTAGTCCTGACATTCATTCAGTGTTTGAAGCGAGAATCGAATAATAAGATACAACGAAAAATTTGATCCTGCCTATATTAAGCAGGCAAGAATTTGAAGAGCTGAAGTTCTATCAATGCACTAATTGTAATTGTCTACATATTTACCTGCAACTGAGCAACCGCTTTATTGCAACTCGAGTGTTACCAAACATGATAGCATGATAAACAATGGCATAATCTCCGCAAGCAACTACGTTTTCATCAGCAAAGTCATTTGTTACTGCTTGAATTTCTATCAATCTGAATTGATAACTAGGCTTAGTTGCTCTACGAGTAGAAACTATCACTTGTTTTTCTGGGATACTTCTCATGCCCATTGGCTTCAAGGACTTGCGTGCTTTACAGCGGCGGCGCGGCCTGGTTATGATGATACAGAGAGTAGTGATGCAGATGAGGACGAAAAGAACAATGCAAGTGAGAATTGCAATCCATAATTTGATCCCAAAGAATGGAATTGGCTTCGAGAGCCTCTGTATGATGGCTGTAAAGTTGAGATACATTCTTACATAATGCCAAAGTGGAATGCGAAACCTTTTTAGAGAAGACGTTTTGGTTGAATAAGAGTTAGAGAGAGTTTGTTTTCAACTAAAACTCTTATTAACGTTTTGTAATTTAAATGCTGTGATATTTAAGATAACAGAATTGTGGCATCCTTATGCGGCGGGATATCTTCAAACAAAATTGGTTCATTCGCACAATGCCTCTATTTATTGGTGTTCTTTAGTTTTCGCCCTAAAAAGTGGTGGAAAATATCCTTTGTTGAAATTTTATATCATAATATAACAACTTAAGTCCTACTAGAAATATGTTATATCTTACTACGCATAACTTAGTTTACGGTAGAAGGGATAACTTCAATTTCAAAACATTATGCATTAAAAAATTCATAACCCACACAAGTTATGTCTTACAAACATATTTTGATTCCTATGAACGTCGATAGAGTCATCAGTTCAATTCAAAACTCACAAAGTTATATCTTACAAAAGATATTTTAATTCCTACGAAATTTGCACCAATAGAGGCATAAGTTCAAATTAGAAGCCACATAGACAACTTATCTATAAAGAACTTTTGTCGTATAAGGACAAAAGTTTTCTATACTTGTGTCTTGCGAATCAGAACTACACAATTTTTGCCTTGCAAAATTAGTTCATATTTAAAAATATTTTGGCCCATAAATTTTTATTAAATGAACAGTAGAAACAAAAATTAAAAATCACCCTAAAATAATCGATCCACACAAAAACATGATAAAAAAATATATATAAAGACTGTAACTGTGTTTGATCAGGGAGGTATTCCCAAGTCCCAACAAAATAATCATTTTTTTCCAAGTAAAACTTGATGAAGGCGCCATTCCTTTTGCTTTTCAAACTGCAGCCAATGGTATTATCTTGCAAGAAATTAATCAAGTAATCAACTATTGAAGCTTGAAGTATCAAACTAAAAATCAAATGAAAAGCTGAATGGTATACTCGACCATAAACGTCATCTTTCGTTTCTACTTGAGTTGCATTTTACTCTAAACCAAATAATAATTGAGTTGAGTATCTACAATTTGCATCTTTTCTGGGCATAAGGAAGTACATATACAAAAATCTGTGTACACAGTACACTCCCAAAATCTGCATGTGGTTCTCTCTCTCTCTATATATATAGACCCAAATATCGATGCACTAACAGAATAATTCAGAATTTGCAAAAGAATAATCCACTGCAGGGATCATGAAAATGGAAATGCCGGGGGCATGCACATCTGCTTGATGTCTCCGTTGAATGGTGTCTTCAAAGGGTGCAACTTAATCTCATAAAGCTTCGGCCACAATTTGCCTGTGACTGAATAAAAAAATAATTTGGTGTAATGATATTTCCTCATTGTGGTATACGTGTTACTGAAGAGCAATAGAATTATGACGGAGCTTACCAAAAAGACGGTCACCATCCCTATCCCATGCTATGCCATTCAGCACATCAATTTGCTGCAGAAAAATTAAGTGTTAAAGAAAATGTTCCAAAGGTCCAAGTAAACATCATACTCAGAACCTAAAGCAGTTGCTATAGGATACTGACCTTTTTCAAATTGTGTAGCAATCCTTCTCTGCATAAGAAATAGAAGCTAATGCATCATTTCACTCTAAATAGAACTTTTTCATGAAGTAATAAAATTCCAAATACTGGAATGATGCTACTAGGAAAGAGTTGATAGAAGAACCTCAGATTGGGGAGGAGAATCCATCCAAGAACTGAGCCATCTGTTTGTGATATTCTAGCTATACAGTCAGTCTGCAGAGACATTTGTCAGAATTAACCCTACGCCACACTTGGGTTGTAAAAGAAATTATTCAAATGGTTTGGGCTTCATGAATCAAACAGGAGCTATTGTACAACGATGTTTACTAGAACTGGTATTGTTGTCAAACAAAAAAATCACAAAAGCTTACTAGGACCTGAGCACAAATCACAGTTAATGCGCACTTTGGCGAAGAAAGGCATAAATACAGAAATAACTATAAGTACAAAAGTAATTATAGATAAAAAGGAGTTGGAAACAATTCAGTGAATTATATGAAACAGAAAGCTTTGTCAATCAAGCTCAAAAATCACTTTTTTATAAATCAATCAATTCAAAAATCAATTTAAATACCTGATTCAGTTGTGACGATGCAGCTTTGAGTCTCCAATTCAAACTTACGGACTAGTTTTTTTTATTTTATTAACAACCAATTGTTTTGTTAATTAATACCTAATGTCTCGTGCAAGATGGAGCCTATGGACACTCAGGCAAATGCTTAAGTGCCTTGGTTTCTAAACTGGACTACCACCTAAGAGAGTTCAGAGCAACACTCTCTTCAAGACAGCACAAACCATGATTGTTGAGGCTCATGCATTAGCGCTTTCGTGCACTCACTGAAGCTCTGTCCAAGTGATATGAAGTGTTGCCTACAAGAACGCCGTGGTTTAAAGATGTCTCTTGAGTGATTCTTTTTTATAAGGATCTGAATTCTGAAGTGATTCTTTGACAACACTGAGAACTTATATACTCGGAAAATATCCTCTATCATTTTGGTTGTTCGTGCTATTAAAGAAAGCTCTTTATTAAACATAGAAATCAAAGAAACCACTAGACGGTAAATCAAAGAGCAGCAATTGATCCAAGTTCAGTGATAAGGCACAATATCCAGAACCCATATATTGAGTTCAGACAAAGCAGTCATTGTTAAGTCTTAATGATGATGCCTTGTAGCCCCGTAAGTATAACAATAAGGTACCAGAAATGGACTTGCGCACAAGTACTCACCCTAGCAGAATAAGTAAAATACAGATTGAGTTTAAAAAAGAATCTCAAGATGATCTCATTCGTAGTAAGAGAAAAGATTCTCCCTAATACCTTTCTCAGATTCATGTTGGATAAATATAATTGTGATGTATAATACGAAATCAATCGTTCTAAAGAGGAAGTGGTGGGAGAACAAGTCCATACCATCCAAACATTCGCCCAAACTTCGTCATAAACATACTCTAGTTCATTGAGTCTGTGTACTTCATCACCTTGATAATTTACGATTTGTTTCTTAACTACTGCAACAATGAGAAAAAGAAAGCATAAGAACAAAATAATACATTCTTATATGAAGAATAAAACAACTGAATCATAATTTGACCTTCAGATGACAAAACCTTTCATAGTTTGAGGGTCAATCTGATAGAGTGTAGAAGATCCATCACTCCCATAAAGGATTTTTCCATCAGTTGCCAATCCCCAACCATCGGGCATATCATGGCGAAACTTCTCAAACTGAAGAGAAATTACAAGTTTGCAACTGTAAGAATTCCAGAGGAGGGGGAGGGGGGGGGGGGGGGGATAAAGGAAATACCGAGTACATATCAATACAAAGAGATCTTTCAACCACAAAAATACTAGCATTTATAGATCCCCGATCTCAAACATGCAAGGATTAATACACAGTATATTTCTGCATAACAAAACAACAGTTTATATGGTATAGACGATTTTGGACAAAAACCCGAGCGTCATTTTCTGAAAATGGTGATCTTACGGTTCAAGCAGATGGAATACAGAAGACAACTGAAATCAAAGCGAAACCAGCCTAAGTTTCTGTGAGAAGAAAGAAATTGAAGTTAAGTTTTTGGAGTTTTTTTTTTCCACTTTGAAAAATACACCGGAAGAACAGTCAAAACCTTGAAAATAAAGATGAAATTGCCTGATATTGCCATATCATTGTTAAGCATTATCAGCAATCTAAAAAAACCCAGAATAATTGATTACAGATTAACTGTATACAGATGGTTGTCAAAGAAACTGTAATGGAATGCTTTGCTAGTGACAACTCAGAAAAGGTCTCAACTGACAGGAAGACCTGTATAACATAACTGAGCAGCCAAAGATAAATAATTTTCCCAATATCATACTATTTAGCCAAAGTAGAAGTTTCCAGAAACACATTCTTGTAGTCAATGACATCATGATACCATTTTTAAGTTTTTCACCATTTTGGCCTTGACTTCAGAGTCAAAAGTTGGGATTTAGCAAACAAGATCAAAATAAAATGATCGGCACAGGAAAATCTCCTTTTTCAAACTAGAAAATTTGCAATAAACATCATAATATTACCAGATAAACTGGGATTCATCTAAGCAAGATACTAACATAAATAGCACAAAATTGCATAAAACACTGAACAAGTATTACATACTTTGCTGAGATTATGCCGATCATATATGTAACCAGTACTCTGCCGCCAAGTTACTTGAATCAACCTGCGAAATACATTAAGATTACTACATTAGATGATAGGACCATCTTTTTCACATAAAAAGAGAAAGCAACAATCAATTGTACACGGAAATACTGAATTTGAGAATATACCATGCAGTAAAGGGGTCAAAACTCTTTTTTTAATTCAATTTAAATCACCTTTAGGAAGTATAGTGAGTACTTTCCCAATCAAAGGTGTTTCAGAAGTCCTTCAGATTTGAGGAGATTGTCAACTTATTTAGCAGACATAAACATGCAAAAGCATCCAAGGATGTGGCCTAGAGGTCAACAAAGTGAGTTGAGAACTATGAGGTCACAAGTTCAATCCCAGCAGAAAGCAACAGTTACCATTATAAAAAAAAATCCCAGCAGAAAGCAGAGACGCTAGATGCTTGTGTTGGTGGAAGGTAGAAGACTACAGTTATCACAAAAAAAAGGGACATAATCACCAAGTCATAAAAGATCAGAGTAGTCAGAAGCCTAAAAGGACCTATATTCATGTGGGCAACAAAAACATCTTTGTTTTAATCAGCCAAAAACAACATATTCGTCAACATCCTGTTTTCCTGGAAAGTATGTCCCGGAGAAGCATCATTTACAAGCTGTATAACTTATAACTAATGGGAACCACTATTTTGTTTTGGAAAGAGAACAAATTGCTTATGTCACATAAATTTCTTCCCTTGCTGAATCAAGGTAAGCAAAAACCTATCATCAGCTGAATGAGACCTTATAGTTCAGATCACAAACCTATCACCAAGAAGAGTTAAGCCCTCCCCAAAATCAGAGTACGGCATTCTCTGAATAGCCTTAACCTGCGAATGCCATAAAGAAAGGGCTCAATGATATACCAACTCAGCATCACGGCCAATTTCACTGCGAGCATCTAGGCAATTACCTTGCCAGTCTGCAGAGTGACTTTCCGAACAGATGACTGTAATCAAATATTATAAGCACCATCAGTTATGAACCCAAAACAATATTCTGGTAAATCAATTCTTCCAAAGAAATAATCAATTGGAGTCAACTACAGAACCAGAGGGAAACTCACAGCCCCATTCATCCCAGTAGACTCAAATAGGGTGTCATTTTCTGCATACAGTAGTCCCTGTAGAAAAATGTTCAGTATTATTAGATGGAAAAAACACTAGTATCTAATAACTTACCAAGAGAAAAAGCACCATCTGATTAATACTATAACTGCACCTACTTTGGGATTTCTAAATAGAATGAAGTAGGATAAGTGTAGTGAACCCATAATATTCAGGTTTATCAACAAGCAAAGAAGCTTAAAACCTCAACAGCAACCAAAGAGAGGAGAGAACATTCATATCAAATAGCACACCATCCACAGATTTTAATCATATTACAACAATAGTTAAGATGTTACCATTTGAAAGCTGATAAGAAAAATCAATTTTTATCTTTGCTTATTTAGATTTTTGCGGTAAATGTTAAGCATGTTTAAAGTAATTAGACTGAACAGTTTCACCTGCGTTACACATAAATCCAAGCTCATAGTTGATCAAGGTACATGGAAAACAATTTCCACATCTGTTGTCAGGGAATGACTAATCACATTAGAGAAAATATTCCGCCTGTAGTCATTTCATTTAGAAGTGTTAAGGAAACAGAAACAGAAACATCAAGGGTGAATGAACACAAGCTAATCCATGGACAAAAAATCTTTTCTAGATACTTCATCTAAAATGCAACCTTAAACTGGCAAATTCACATATCCACTGCAGTCATCAGATACCGTCTTGATGTTTATTCTTATCGTTGGTTTGCTCAAACTTTCTATTAGTTGGTGATGTTTATTATTGTAAATGCAGCCAAATAACTGATCATTGTTTCGATTTGGAAGGATGAAAATGCCAGATGCTTGTACTGTTGTTAAGCAAAAGACTAGCTCTCATTACATCCCTAGAGAAATTAGAATTAGAAACCCAGCGGATCCCGCAACATGTGTTTGATAAGAGAACTTTATCTTCGCTATTGTAAGCCGGGGTATGCCCTGCGAACTGAGTAAGTTTCTTCTTCTTCACTTGAAAAAATTAAGCAATATCCTAGCTCAATCTTACACTACTAGAAGTCCAAATTGGACTTCTTTTCTCCTCAAATACGAGTAAATTTCTAATGCCTCTTTCTGATTACACAAATTAAATACAAGAGACACTAGAATTCAACATAAATCTAGAGGATCAACTGGAATCAATAGAAGCGAAAGAAAAACAAACCTGAGTGAATGCATCGGGATCGTGAGGGAACTCATTGACCACTTCGACTGTGTAAAGTCGATTCGAGGGAACATCTGATCGAGACACGCCTTCCTTTCGCAACGAAGTGTTCAAAACAACTATCAAACAAACAACTAGGATAAAAAATACAAGGGAGGAGATCTTTCTGTAATGGAGAAGAAAACGAGATGAACAAGCGAGGGAAGAAGCCATGGAAGGTTGTTGAGGTAGGGAGTTTACTCTCCTAGAATTAGATTTCTTTCTCATTTTTGCGCCTGGCATGTGGTCCACACCTCATAAACGACGACGTTCATGAATTCCTCCGGTCTATCGGAAGGGGACGCCGGGAACGACGACGGAAATTGTTGGGGGTGGGAGATTTACGTGAATAGTCGCGATGAAAAGCGTGGTCGAATTCCAATTGCCAACTTTGACTTCCAATTGATCAAATATGTCCTTGGAGTTGTTTGGCAATAATTTTGAGATATTTCGTAGAAATTGTTTTATTTTATATTTAATTATAGGAACTAATTAGGTTTGGAGAACTATTTTGTTCTAAAATTACAAGATAGAAGATGTATAAGTTAATTTTATAGGATATTTTTATCTATTCTATCTCATAATCAAATGATTCCTCAAAGTTTTTGAAATTGATCACATATGCCCTTAGTTTAAAAGAGAACAGTTTAGCTCTTATATATCTTTATCGCATTACGATAATTAATTTAAATATACTTTAAGTTTAACTGAAATTCTCAATTAACTCAATTATTGATTAATAAGTTGGAAAGGATCAACTTAAAGGTTAACAGTTTAAAGGTTCTTTAATATGTACAGATTTAGCATTTTTTTGTACTCATATTTACGTAACAAACAAAGTCAAACATCATATCTAAGTAGGTATTTGAATATGTGATTTTATCTTGTAATTTGAAATCATGAAATGATATTAATATTTGAACATGTCATGACTTCACACCTTTTAAATATAAAAATTGATTCATTAAATTATATTTTATAAAAAAAGGTGAAGTGGTCTGATAGACTTTTGTACTTGTATGAGTTTGTGTTCTAGACCCTTATACTTAATATTTTGCCAACTGAACTCTTAAACTCAATTAAAATAAGATTTTTAAACCCTCTGATCATTGACCAAACTTATGTGACATGTATTTTGCTACTCAATTATAGTGTGTGATATCACACTTAAAAAGGTGAGTGAAAGCAATGAATTTGCTTTAAAAATAATTAAATAATAAAAAAAACAAATTAAAGTCCCAACCACCTCCCTTTGCTACCGGCGTTAGATCTCGACGTCCCTTGCGACGCCGTTTTCGTCTGCCTCTCTGCACATTTTTTCCATTGAACCTATGTTAATGATTAGGTGTTTTGGTGAGTTTTAGCAGTGTCAATGGAAGTTTCAGATGTTGAACAAGAAGGTTGATTTTGGCACAGTAGCAATGGGTTTTCCCAGTGGTGGATCCAGAATTTTACGGTTATGAGTGCTCACTATTTTTAATATAAACTTGTATTAACCAAAGAGCGTAATTGCGCGCTAAAATTCCTCAACAAGAGTGTTTTTTTTTTAAAAAAAAATCAATAGTCAATCAAAATTCTTTGAATTGGTTCAAGAAAAAAAAAAAAAGAGGAACAATATACCTTCACATACGATTGTAATTACCAAAAAGGCAAAAAAATGAGAAGGAGGATTTTTTTGCTTTTGAGTTGGAGAACTTAAATGAAGGCTCTAGAACATAATATTTTTCCCTTCCCTTTTCATTTTCCCTAATTAGACTGATGAGAAAGAAAGAGAAAACAAACATGGAAAATCATGATTAACTTGCATAATAGACATGAGCAGTGGCCGCTTCAAGATTCTAAGATCGTGGTTGCTTCTTAAACTATCAATCACAAAATATAAATGCACAAATTTAACACTGATCATAAAAATGATATTTAAATACGATAGCGAAAAAAAATAATTAAAAAACAAGAGTAAAAAAGGGAGAAGGACTTTTGCAACTTTTGTATAAAATTTAATTTAAGAAAAGTCAGCGGGACAATGTGAAAGGAAAAATAGATCAAGGACAAAAATAAATAAATAAATCAATAAATAAAAGAAAGTGTAATTGGAAATTAAAAGGTAGAAAGAGAAATACAAAATTTAATTTAAGAAAAGTCTGGGACAATGTGAAAGGGAAAATAGATCAAGGACAAAAGTAAATAAATAAATAAATAAAAGAAAGTGTAATTGGAAATTAAAAAGCAGAAAGTATAGAGTTGAAAAGGTAGAAATAATGTGTTTAGAGGGATTCGAACTCGGGCTGAGAAGCAAAATGTAAACCTTGAGCACCTGAATCGTTTGTTGCATGGGTGCTCACCTTTAGTTTTATACGATTTTGTCTTAATTTCTATATAAGTATATATGTTTCGATACGAGGTTAATGGGTGCTCGAGCACCCGGAAACCTCCATGTGGGTCCGCCTCTGGGTCTTTCATGGTGGTTATGTGATGATTTTGCTTTGGTGGCGATTTTGCTCTGGTGGCTTGCTCCGCACATTTTGTTCATAGATTTCTTTTTTCCATGTTGAGATCTGGGTTTGATTGTGTGTGATCTTCTTCGTCGAGCCTCAAAAATCTGCCATAAGATCCAACATTAAGAAAACGTTGTTCGTTCATATTAGTTTTGAGATCTAGGTTTGACTTATGGCTTTTTGAGCTTCATAGTCATTTTTCGAAAAAGAAAAGAATTAGGAGGGGAGATTTTTTTTGTTAGTTTATATAGCACCATAACAATTAAGAGTGTTCAAGTAAGCTTATAAAAGTGAAATCTGTCGAATTTGTCCAGCTTAAGCATGCTAGGCGGAAACTATCAATGAAAAAGATTCTTGTTTTTTATGCTGTATTTAATCTACGGTAGCCAGTGACAAATTTTTAGCTTGCCCAAATTATCTTTTCAAGAAAAGTGATTCTATAAGATAATAGCTATGTCAGATTAATTTTGAGTTTCCATTTTCTCTTTTTGCATTTGGTGGTTGTGGATTGTGGGAGGTGGAGGAAAAGTGAGAGAAATAATTATTTTGTTTTATTTTTTAAATAGAAATTTGATTATTTTTATCTTTTATTTGAGTGACATTTTTAGTTAATAATTTAAAAATAATTATGAAATAGTTATGACATGACAATAACGTATATGATGTGGATATTACATGTCATTTATGTTAAGGAGAGTGAGCTACACACATGGTTGGAGGGGTTCAAAAGTCTCATTTTAATTGAGTTTAAGAGTTTAGTAGGCACATGATTAAGTAGAAGAGTCTAGAATACAAATTAATACAAGTACAAGGGTCCATTGGACCATTTTACCTAAAAAAAAATCATTTTATATCCATGAGTTGAGATGATTACTCTTATCAACATTTAAACACCATTAATGAACACGAGTTCAATAATTAAAAAAAGAAGTAAAGAACAATACAATATAACTCAAGTTCAATTACATTTTTTCAAGACTCGCTTGATTATGAAATATTATAGAGTTACATTATATTTAATTGATACAATTGAATTTGAATTCAAACTGTTTAATAAGTACAACTTTCAATTAAGATGTCTAGTGAAAATTAATGTTAAATTTAAATACATGACTATGTATTAAGCTTTAAAAAAATCTTTTTTTCTCATCATAATACAGTCATATTCGATATGGTAACATATACATATAATAAAATATAATAATTTAATAGATATTTGTACAACATTTCCTCAAAGTTGAAATCAAAAGCATATGAAACTTAAGTTGGGGAAGAGTTTTTTTAAATATGCTATTTTAAAAAAAAATTGTAACTAAATATATTTCACACAAAATTTTAAATATTTCATTAGTCTTTGCCAAAAATAATGGAATGCTCTAAGTAGGCGTTTGGCCATGCGATATCATATCACGATATGGTGTCGTGAGATGAAATCAGCGTTTGGACATGCGATTTTACGCTGATTTCATCTCATGATTCCATATCATGAGAGGTGATATCATATTCTCCAAAAACCATGATATGGAATCACCATGTGATTTCATATCATGATTTGAGATATTTTAATACAATAATTGATCCATGAGTTTATATTTTGTTAAAACAACCCCACATTTATATCTACTAACCATTTGTTTCATATGTAAATAAAATTTATAATCGCATCATTACTTTTTAAAATTTATTATTCTCACCAATATAAAATTTATTATCACTTTAAATTTGGTGAATATAAATGATAAAGTAGAAATTCATTTGGTGAATATAAATGAGAACAAAGGGAGTAATACTTTTTTGATTTTTCATAATAAAAAAAAACGTCTTAATCTTATGACTAAGCATAATATTGATAAAAGACAATTTTCATTGGCGGTGCCGCACTTTCTTAATCTTAGTATTTGCAAAATGTTCGTTCACATGACTGAAGGATATCAAGTCCAATTGATTGAGGACTTAGGAAAATTTGATCAATTAGTTATTAATATTTAGTCAAGTGGACTAGTTATAATTTTTTTGATTAAATTTTATTAGAAGTGTTTTTGACTCCAACTTGTGGTAACTTTTTAAAATTTCGTTATTCAATAATATTTAACTATTGATTTTTCTTGTAAATAGTTACTCCCTCCGTTTCACAAAGAATGACCTTCTTTCCTTTTTAGTCAGTTTAAAAAAGAATGACCTCTTTCCTTTTTTGGTAACATTTTACTTTTTGCTTTCCACGTGGCATGTTTAAGACCACAAGATTAAGGGTAATTTTGTACATTTGGCATAACTTTAATTTAGGACCACAAGATTCAAAAGTCTTCTTTATTTACTTAAACTCCGTGTCAAGTCAAACCAGGTCATTCTTTGTGAAACGGAGGGAGTAGAAGTTAGTGATGTTTGTTAATTTTTATCTTAGTGCATTTAACTTCTAAGTTAATATTTACTCACTAATGTATGTTTTTTTTCTACTTTATAGGTTATTTGTAAGAGTAGTTGAGAGATATGAACATATCAAGTACAATTTATGTTCAATTTTTTTAAATTAAATTAAAGTTAGATGAAACAATTATTTAACTGAAGAACAAATAACTTTGTAATAATTTATTATGCGATTTTATAATTTTTGTTTATTTGATAAGATTGAATAAACAATTAGGGCTATTTTAATAGTTTTACAACTTATGAGATTTTTATGTTTATGAGAAAATATACAACACAAAAATTCCATATCGCATATCCAAACAAACCTTCAATTTCATCTCATGATTCCATATTATGATACCATATCATGATTTCATATCATGATACCATATCGCATGGCCAAACGGGTCCTAATTAATTTCATTGATGCTTCACCATTGGCCGTGAGACATTCGATTCTCAATGAGAACATTCTAGATGTCTA